AATTACCACCAAGCACAAAACTTATATTATCTAATTTCCCAAAATCTAATTTCATCTTCCGCTTACATCAGAAGCCGATTTCTCAACACTTTCATGAGATTCTTTCTTTTTCAAATTTGAATTTGACATTAAATCTCCACTAAAGACAAAACACTGATCATCTAGCTTCCTGAACTCTGCCTTATTCTCTTCTTTCATCGTCCCCCCTCCCTCGCCAAAAATTTCCACATTTACACTGGGTTCTCTTGCTTCGAAATTTGAACTGGATACTGAAGTGGTAGGTTTGGAGCCAAATTGCACACTGTCAAATTTCCTAAACTCATCGGCATGCATTTGCCCCTCACTTCCATTAGATGCTCTCTGTTCTGAATTTTTATTTGAAACTGAATTACTCTTTTTGGCACCAAACACAAAACCCTCATAATTGAGTTCCCCAAACTCATCAGCACCCAACTGTTGCACATTTCGACTGGATGGTCTCCTTTCCAAGTCCGAATTCGTTAAAGAACTACTCTTATTAGCACCAAACACAAATCCCACATCGGCACCCAATTCTCCCACACCTCCACTAGATTCTTTATGCTCTGAATGTGAATTCAAATCCGAATTACTCTTTTTGGCACCAAACACAAAACCCACATTATTGAAGCTCCCAAACCCTTCTGCACTTCCAGTACATTGTTCCTTGTCCGAATTCAAATTCGACATCAAACTGTTCTTATGTGAACCAAACACAAAACCCACATCCCCAACCAAAGAATTGAACCCATTTGATGAACTACTAGTAGCATTGTCAACTTGATTAGAATTCTCGAAAACAGACTGAAAAGGATTCAAACCCGAATTATTTGAAGACTTCCCTTGCTGAGAACCCATCTGTCTCCTAATCTTCACAAGCCTCGGCTTCGAACGCCCCGAAACTGCAGAAGAATTCGACTTCTCTGAACTCATTCGCGGCACAAAAGGCAAAGAGAAGCCAAGGTTCGAACTTTGTAGCCTGCCCTTTTTTTTTTCTTTTTTTTTTCAACTGACTGCAGGAAACTATTTTGCAAGTTAGTTATATTTCAATAACACTATCATTTCACCCATTCAAAAGTTTCTTTCAACAATTTGCATGCAAGTTATATCAATCCATATGTAGATTACATGAGAACATATCGAACTGTTCCTCTTTTATTTTTTAGAACACAGCTGACACGATTAATTAACTAGCGTATGTTCGTATTTAAAAGTTGGGTATAAATAATGTTAGGATTAAAATGTTATTGTAATTCTAATATTATTTAAATTAATAAATTCATAAATTTATTATAAAATTTTAGAGTTCTCATTAATTTTTGCTTATGTAATACATAGCTAAATAGATAAATATACCTGTCATACATATAATTTCCACAGACATACATATAATAATACTTTTGTTTATATAATTATATGAAAATTGTATGTATATCTGTAATGTCTTAATGTATTAGGGGCATACATACATTGTATGAAAATATGTGTGAAATATATTGAATAAAAAAGAGAAAATAAAAAAATAAACAAATAGAGAGAAAAATAAAAATTAGAGAAAATAAAACAATAAAAACAAAAGAGGGAGGAATGTGGGATCATGAGATCGTAAAAGGATGGGTGAGAAAAGAAAAAAGTAAGAGAGAGAAGCAGGAAAATGAAAAATTGTAGCTCGCCTTTTTCGCACTCCCTTTCGGAAGGTTCAAAAGAAAGCTCTACAGTTCAGACTCCCATGATTCTGAATCTAATCTCATAAGTGCAATGTGAAATAAATAAAAACCAAAGAGTCCAAATCCAACAAATCATTTTGGAAAATTGATTTTGAATCAAAAGTGCCAAAATTGGACTGCTTTGCCAAATATAGAGTCGTCACCTAAATATTTTATTTTGGGGGAATTTAGGAAACCCATGACTCGTGCCAAAGGCCACGTGTCCGTTATCACCAAAGTTGCCTCGGCTCGGGAACTTAGGTGCAAAAGGGGAAGATTATGAATTGAGCATCTTCGCTTGCCCGATCAAAGATCGGCCTCTACTAATCATGATATGATTTTTTATAAACATTATGTGCTCTTGTTCAAGTTATTAAATTAACATTACTATGTGATGCGCACAATCAAGTATAGACTAGTTTGCTCAATTGAGAACAATTCAACTCATGTCTGATTGTGAAAATGGTTCAAATTTGTCACCTCAATTGGGCATAAAGATTTGCAAATTTGCTACCAAACATGATGGGCTTAAAATGGATTGCCATTCAACAAAGTGGGCTTAAAACATACATTTGTTGAATCGTTTCAATTCAAACAACAACCCTTCATCTACAAGCATTCAAACAGTTAATCACTTAAGTATTTAGCCTCATGGCAAGCATGCTAGACATGACATCATCCACATTCATGCAAGTATGCTAAAACATAAAATTCACCTAGTACCCCAAGCTAAGAAAACATGAGTTGGAAAAATATGTGTGATTCTTAACTATACAAGATGACTAATGCAATACATGCGATATGTAATTGATAGGCTTGATTACGAATATGGCATATGAATTAATTTGATAACATGCGGTTAAACACGTATTCAAATAATTATTGAAATGGCAATGCAATTTGAATGATGCGCCGAGCCTCGGTGCATGCAATATAAGATGAATGTATGCAAGCATAAGGTATACTAATTGAAATATATCCCTAATCTAACCATCAAAAGGGATTAAATAAAATGAAAAAAGACGTGGGGTTGGAAAGCATACACATTATTACAATACGCTCTCACGAAGGAGAGTCCAAATGAATAAAAGCTAACTAACTAGCAACTAATTAGGGCTAAACACAAATGTAAGTAAACTAAGTAATAAAACTACGCTGCCACTACTCCGCCTCAGGAAGTGGAGGATGCACATACTTGGTTTTCGCCCGAAAAGACCTCCATTTGGCTCTCGAAAGCCTCTGTTTGCAGAGTTGAACATTTTTAGGACCTTTCTGCTCCACCTTACCAAAATCTGTTGAAGTTTACATCAGTGGCCTGCCGACCATCAATAGTGCACTGTTGGCCATGGATAGTGGCCTGTCGGCCACTGATGCACTGGATCACCATGCTGTAACAGAGTACAAACAGAGCAAAAAGAAGGTTTTTTTTCCAAGGATTAGATGCACAATTCACCCATCTTTTTTATGGACAAATCCAAGGAATTGTGAACTTAAATCACAAACCACCAATCTAAGCAAATTCATTGCATGATGGCTTGTGCTTCAAGTTGTGCAAGCTCAATAAATGCAAAACAAGACACTCAAGAACCATCACCCTATCATGCATGATCAAAGGCAACAGAGACCTAGGAAAGTGACACATTTCATCACTTTTGAGTATGAAATGTCCCATTTTCCTTGTGTTCAAATTAACGTCTGATTTGAACACATGCAATGCAACACAAAGAAATGCTTATCTTGACACTTTTACTTGCCAATTTTGTTTACACATTTTAGTTACCAAATCATTCTTTAATCCATTTGTCCATTGGTGAGTGTCTTCTAAGATGAAAGAAGTGTCAACCAAGAGATAACGTATGGCAAGAGAGAGATCGTGTCGTTGATAATGAACCCTCAAAGAGGATTAACCATTAAGCATGACCTCAATCTCAAGCTTAAAGGATCCCAAGCTTAAAACAATCCTCAAAAGAAAATGAAAAAGTGAAGCAAAGAGGGAGGTTGCAGAGTTTATAGTGCTGAAATTGAGTGAAAAACAACACCAACAGATGCTATCAACTCAAACAAGAGGTATCTAAGACCATAAAACACCAACTTGTGAAGACTATTACACTACAACCATGCAAAACAAGACTCAAATGAACTA